TCTCCTCTCCTCTCCTCTCCACCCACCTCTACGACAGATAGCTGTTCCAGCACGCTCACTCCCTCCAGGTCCGGCCCGGCCCCACCGCGACTCCCGTCCTGGTGGAGCCAGATCTCGTGGCGCCCCCTGCTGTCCTGCCGCGCCAGCTGCCGCACGGTGGCGCCCTCTTGCTCCGCGCGCTTACGTTCGGCGACCTTCTTTCGGACCTCCTCGAAGACCTGAGCGAGAGATTCGCGAGCGGAGGGGAAGGGCGTGCTCGTGGCGAGACTGCGCATGTAGTAGAACACCGCGTCCAGCTTACGATGCTGCAACGATGGAACAACACGGTGAACAACAGGGTGAAGGAACAACGATGAACAGCAGGGCGAACATGGTGGAGAACAAACAATGAAGAACACAGTGGAAGAACTGCAAGAAACAACACAATGAAGGAACAGTGATGAATAACACGGCGACAGAACGACAATGGAACAATGACGAACAGCCGAGCAAGCTTCTTTTGGTGACGAACATTGAAGAGAACAATGAACAACCAGGGTGCAAATCACGACAAAGAACCTGACATGGATAACATGACTGGAAAAAGACGGGAGTGCAACGGCAACGGGAAAAAAGTAGACATACCAGATTGTACAACCATACCCAACAATGTACCCAACTCCCACTCTCTAGTCAAAAAACTTTCCCTTGTTCTTCACTACTCATCTGTCATCTGTGTGTAAGTATGGCATGAGTAACGTACCACGTATGTTGCCAGTATGGCAAGCTGGTTGTAGGCACGACCGCTCTTAGGCCACAGTCGCTGCGCCTTCAGATACCAACTGCAAAATGACAAATTAAACATGAGCAACTGGGGAAAAATGCTCATTCGCCACAGCGGCCAAACATTCTGCAAAAAATGAGATCGATTAAGTATCGTGATTTTACTAGGGGTGCAACGAATCACAACTCCACGGTTCGGTTCGGTTCGGTTTTCGGTTTTCACATTTCGGTTCGGATATTTTCGGTTCGAATATTTGCGATCAATTACAAATCTTATAACACCAAACAGAAGTGCAAATTTAATAATCAGACTGGTTTATAAATACCATAGATCTGTAGGAAGCCGGCGGATCAACATAAGTTGTCATTTTTGCAGACAAAATGAATGCGTTGACCTTCTCGTGGCCCATATAGCAACCGTGCGTCTATTCAATGTCTATCTGCTCGTCCGCTGAATTGGCTCGAGATTGTTTACGCACCAGCCAATCGCAGGTGCTGCGTTATCTCAAAAGTCGTATATATCGAGGTTATATTTAAAAGTGAACGGAATCCGAGCCTGATAAAATCGAACGACTCGGTTTTCTCGATATCCGTAATGGTGGCGCAAAAAACCGCGCGTGTTGTGGTTAACGCCCCCGGTGTTAAAGCCGATTTACACACTAGATTTACCACCTCTTTATTCCATCCTCCTCCTTCAGTCCTCCCTTTTCCCGTTCCCTCCCCTCCTATACCACAGAGGCTAACTTCCCTCTATCTCCCAGTTTCCCGCTTCTACCTTTCTTTCATTCTGCTCGTCTTGTATCGTTGCATAGACAGAGGTAGCACCACCCTCCTCTCTCCCTTCCCCTCTCCTTCCCCTCCGTCCTTCCCTTTTCCCCCTCCCCCTGCTTTCGTTATTGCATTTAATCCATGCATTGTCGATACTCATGTCGATACAACCCCCCCTCCTCCGGCCACAGTACCTGCGTGCCTTGCCGCTACTCGTGAGAGAGTGTTCATCTGTTCTCTCGGGTAATCGCCATGATCCGCTTTTGTTTTGTTTGTCGCCCGAGACAGGTAGCATCCCTCCTCCCCCTCTCTCTCCCGTCCTCCTTCTCCCGCCCCCTTCCTCCTCCCTCCCCTCCCTCCTCCACCACATACCTGCCGTGCCTTGCGGTAGTTTGAGAGAGTGTTTCATCTGTTTCTCTTTTGGTAATTCGCGCGATTGTCGCGAGACAGAGGTGCACCCCTCCTCCCCTCTTCTCTCAACCGTCCTCATATCCCCCTTCTTCCCGCCTCCTCCCTCCGCTTCCCCGCTAACCTCCCTCCGTCCACCAACAATACCTTGCGTTGCCTTGCCGTACAGTGTGAGAGAGTTGTTCATCTGGTTCTCGACGAGTATTCGCGGTGTTCGCCGCAGACAGAGGTAGCATCCCCTTCTCCCCCTCTTCTCTCTCCCCTCCTTCCCCCCTTCATCCCTCCCCCTCCTCCCCTCCTCCGCCCCCACACATACCTGGCGCTGCTGCCGGTAGTTGAGAGAGTTGTTCATCTGTTCTCGGTATCGCGCGATGTCGCCGAGACAGAGGTAGCATCCCCTCCTCCCCCTCTCTCTCCCCTCTCTGATTAGCCGTCTGCGGACCTCCCCCTCTCTCTCCCCTCTGTCCCCCATCTCTCCCCCCCATCCCCCTCCTCCGCACATGACGCTGCTCGATGCCTTATGTTAGTACCGTCGGAGAAGTTGTTCATCTGTGTTCTCTGGGTTATCGGCGATATCGCCCGAGACAGAGGTACATCTCCCTCCGCCCCCTCCTCCGTGTGTGCCTCCTCCTCCTCCCTTTCTCCTCCCCGTTCCTCCCTCTCCGCCAATACCTGGCGTGCCCTTGCCGTACGTCGGAGAGAGTGTCATCTGTTCTCACGTAATCGGTGCGAACTGCGTCGCCCCGAGACGAGATAGCATCCCCCGCTCACCTCCTCCCCTCTCCCTCCCTCCCTGCCCTCCTTCCGCCCCACATACCTGCGTGCCTTAGCGGCGCTACGTGAGGAGAGTTGTTCAATCTGTTCTCGTAGTCGGGCGATGGTCGCCGAGCACAGGAGGTAGCATCCCCTCCTCCCCTTCCTCCCTCCTCCCCCTCGCTTCCCCTTCCCTCCCGACGATGCGCTCCCCTCTCCGCCACATACCTGCGTGGCCCCTTGCCGTACGCGGAAGAGAAGTGGCTTCATCTGTTCTCGGCGGGAGTAATCAGGGCGATGTCGCCGAGGGACAGAGGTTAGCCACCCTCTTCTTCCCCCTCTCTCTCCCCTCCTTCTCCCTTCTTTCCTCGGCCATTCCCATTTTCCCCCGCTCCCCTTCTCCACATTTTACCTGCGTTGCCTTGCCGTACGTGGAGAGTTGATTCATTCTGTTCTCGGTATCGCCGAGACAGAGCGTAGTAGCATCCTCCTCCCTGGGCCCGTGCTCAGTCGCTCCCCCCAC